GCTCTAGGAGTATAAAACCAAGTAGCTTATTCCATTAAAACAAAGCAGTTACAAAAATGTCATCAGTTTTGGTAGTCATGTGGTGTATGGCTTCCTATTTGCTGTTATTATTAAGAATAAAGATCAGAGCTGGGAAATGGTTATAATAAACAGCAGCATTTTATATTCAGTTTAATTATTTGTCCCTTTATATTTTGCATGGCAATTTTTAACATGCTAGCACCAGCCAGTGTGAGATACTGGGTACGTGTACAGTAAAACCTTACAGATGTGAATAAACATTATAAGGCTTTCTGCTGACATACTAACATGCTGTCCCGCATTGCTTTTTGCAGCTTTTATCCATGACCCAAGATGACCACAAACCATCTGATGTTAGTATATCATTAGAATTATCATTTATACTTGTGTACGTGATATAAAAATTGACAGAAGTAGCTCCTTTGAGTGTGTTTTAATGACCTATACGATTTTCATAAGTTTTTTAAATTTCTTTTTGCAGAAATTGTATCTAGCTTATTGCTGTTAAAACACTGATTCCTATAATCTAAGATTGTGTGTAATCATACAAAATGTATTCAAACTTTTTAAAAAGCCATGCTGGTGGATTTTTTAAAGCCTTTTTTGTGTGTGTGCACTCCGCACCTATGCATATTACATAGTTTGAATAGGAAGTCTTGCACCCCATATATATATGCTTGTGTATGTTTATATTTACATGTGTATCTTAAAACTGTAAAGCCAAAGAGAGAGGGAAAAAGAAAGAAAAAAACCAGGACATCGCACTGTGGCGCCCTGAGGCGGCAGTCGGGGATCGACCTTGCCGCAGGCAGGGGGCCGCAGAGGCGCGAAGGATGGTTGCATTAGTCCTCTGCGGAGCGCATGGGTGGGGCCCGCGAAGGGCTGGAGTTGCACAGAGCCGGAGGGAGGACTGGGAGGCCGACAGAGGCAAGGCAGAGGTCTGAGGACACCAGAACCGGACCACGAAGGCCTCTGCCCGCCTTCAAAGGAGGAGCGTGCGTCACACGGTTTTCAGTAGCAGTGTGATGGTCAGATTGACACGGCACGCACGGCTCTGGGGAGCACGACATGGAGAGGGAGTGTACACGTGTTGTATGATGTGTGG